TCTATTCTCATTATGTTTCTAAATTAATTTTTATGTCTGTTCTAGGATGTTTATTCTCTCTCACCAGAGCTTTGGAATCCTTTGATGAAGTCTTCACAGCTTCAATCACTCTTTTTGGGAGATTGAGTCTTTGGAGAATTCATATCGCCCTCATCCTCTTTCTATTCTCTCAGACTCTTTGTAGCTGGGGATGAAGCATCCTAGGCTTGTTCAAAACCCACCACTGGTTTTCCTCTCCTTCCCACCCTGCTCCATCCTTCTGTTCACAGAATGCCTTTGCCTGGCCTGAAGTTGTCATCTGACCTTTTGGCCCTTACCCCTGAATTGAAGTATTCAGGGAGCTGATAAATGTGCAGAAAAGCTGGCAGTGATGTCATGGTGCTGTTTCTTCAGATCAGAGAGCCTGGAAACATCTTGAAATCACCTTCTTCAGTACTGTAAATAGACTTACAAGTAGGAATGAAGGATTTTATTCACTCAACTCTTCCACTTATTTGCTTTGTTCATTCCTTCTCCTTACTAAATAAATATGAAAAGTACCATTTTGCTCAGGCAGGGCCCCCTTGAGTCCCTCTGTGGCTCCAGGTTGTTTCAGCCAGGCAGTCTGAGAGACTGCTCTGCTTAACTGAATGGAGATCAAATATGTGAATATTCAGAATGTATCCAGTAAGGATGGGCTACAGAGGATGTAGTAACAACTCTAAAACACACTCAAAATCCAAGTAGATCTAGGTGTTCTCCAAAGGGCATTTGTTTTCCATGCATTTGCTCCGGTGTCCAGAATCCTGGGTTGTCCAACCTTATAATCACCAACATTTCTGTGCTCAGCACAGAAAATTGGGCAATTCAACAATGTTCACTGGCCTTAATCTTCTTCTATCCAGGAGGAACATATGTCACAGGGCAATGCCTGCCTCCATAAGGCCTCTCTTATTGAAACATTAGTGAAAAACAGTAAAATCTACCAAAAGATACCAATCATTAGCTATACAGAGGCCTAATAGTCCCAGACAATTCAACTGAACAATAATGAATATCTAGGTCTCTGAATATGGTTTTTCCATTGGTCATGTATGGATGTGAGAGTTGGACTATGAAGAAAGCTGAGTGCTGAAAAATTGATGCTTTTGAACTGTGGTGTTGGAGAAGACTTTTGAGAGTCCCTTGGACTGCAAGGAGATCCAACCAGTCCATCCTGAAGGAGATCAGTCCTGGGTGTTCATTGGAAGGACTGATGCTGAAGCTGAAACTCCAATGCTTTGGCCACCTCATGCGAAAAGTCGACTCGTTGGAAAAGACCCTGATGCTGGGAGGGGTTGGGGGCAGGAGGAGAAGGGGATGACAGAGCATGAGATGGCTGGATGGCATCACCGACTTGATGGGCATGAGTTTGAGTAAATTCCGGGAGTTTGTGATGGACAGGGAAACCTGGCATGCTGCGATTCATGGGGTCGCAAAGAGTCAGACACGGCTGAGCGACTGAACTGAACTGAACTGAACTGAACTGAGGTCTCTGAATATATTGGTGCCTCCACAGGAAGAAGGTTCTCTATTCTCCTGGTGAAAACACTTTATAGTCCATTCACTCGTTTCCAGTTTACACTTTGAGCACCTCCAACACCCATTGCTGAATCACAATTTTACAACTGATCTCTAATGTTAAGGAAGTTCTGAGCTTTAGTATACATGAAGGCATGACATACCTGAATAAATGTTTGGCATATCAATTAATATTTTATTTTTTCTGATAGGTACCTGGTTTCTTTGCTCTACTATATAAAACACAGGTAACCTGAAATGGTCCAGCACACCATTAAGCTTGAATTAAGGACATCTAAAAGGTAAGAGTGATCAAGAATGTTCTGAATGTTTTGAATGTAAACAACTCAAATGCCAGTGTTGTATATCAGTGAAATTCAGAACAAAGCTAGAATCCTAGAAAAGTAAACATCAGAGGGGTTCCCATAGGGTGTTCAGTATAGGGTGTGGGCTGGACTGGTGACAGGACGATTGAGAACCAAGAGGCAACTATAGAATATACTTGAGAACATACTATAAAACAGGGGCTTCCCTATGTGGTTGTCCCCACTCCAGACATGGAAGGATCCCAGCTCGCTCCCATGATGTCAGCTGGCATTGTGAGTGTCTTAACATCTCTTGACAATAAGAGGCCCACAGCTCTGGCTTCATTTGGCACCTAGGCTACTAAACTTTGGGTCATGACTACTGTGGCTGGGGTGGGGCTGATATGATTGGAGATCCATGTTTACATTTGTTCATGACTGATGGTGTAAGAGGGAGAGACCTCTGTGTTCAAAAATGGTTAAAAACCTGCATTTTCTGAAATACCTGCCTCTTTCCTCTGCTTTAATTGAACTGTGTCTACAGAGCCCAAATGACTCTCCTTGCTTATTCTCTGTGCTGGAGAGATGCAAACCAGACTCCCATGGCCCATGGTGCAGGTTGATCTGAAGCTTCTTTCTCAGCATTTGTCAACTTCAGCAACACAGATTTTTTTCTTCCTGTGGCATCACATAGTTTCCTCTTGTCAAGACATAAATATGGCTTACATACTGGGATGAGTAGTGATCACCCACAGAGCATCCGCCCAGACCACCAAGACCTCCCATGTATCCCAGTGGCCATGTTGGATTATGAGGTTCCAGAGTGAGTTGATTGGCTCAGAGGTGGGCATCTGAGACAGGCAGATGCATTTTCACATAGTTTTGAATTGATGTTAAGCAAGAGAGCAAGAGTTTCTGATCTTTGTGACACACAAGAGACCTGGATACAGAGCATTTGATATGTAAAGAAAGGAAAGAGATGAGGATGGGCAGAGAGAGGCAGAAGCTAGGGAGGTGGCACAAGGTTGCTTGCCACCCGCCTCCCCCCCCCCCCCCCACCCATTCCTTCTAAAGTCAATTCAGAATTCTGTGTTCTCAGGGAAAAAAAATTACTTCCCTTTGGCTTAAGTAGATCCAGTTGTTTTTCTTATTTGCAATAAAAACAGGCTGCTCTAAGCTCCAGGCCTTTGTGCTGGAGAGCTGTTTGCTCATTATTGTGTAAATGTTTATATTTCAGAAACTGCCAGGAATTGGGGAGATTTTCAGTAACAGGAGAAAGATCTTAGCAGGAGCCTGAGCTGCATGCTGTTGAGAGGTGTGGCTTTGTTTTCAGATATGCTGTTCCATATATGCAGTGTAGCTGCAAGTGTGTTGGGAAGAGGGGTGGGGCTTGGGGGTCTATTCAGAAAGGGCCAGAGAGGGCAGCTCTCCTGGTCCCTGGGAACAAAGGAAAGAGTGGCTGGTTTCCTGTCTGGGGGAGGATATGCATCACCCCCTCCCATGAGCGTGTGGTTCATTCAGGCCTCATTATAATTTCTTAACCACAGATGTCATTTAAATCTTTCTTCACAGCACTTTGTCAATAAAATCAACTAAATATTAAAATTTAAACTAAACTAAATATAAAAATTTTTGATCTAAAAATTTACAGGCTGAAAGGATAAACTCTGGAGTCACATGGCCTTTTTCAAAAGTGAGCAGTAGCACCAATGCTACCTGTACAAGTTCTCTTCCTCTCTGTGTCTTGGCTTCCTTGTCTGTAAAATGAGAAGGGTTTGACTAGATTATCTCTGAGGCAGAGTGGAGATGAACACCCCCAGAACTGCCAGGCAGGAAGAGGTTTGGGGATGAAACTGAATATGGCTCTACACCCTCTTTGCTTGAGATTTCAAAAGGGATTAGGATTGTGCAGATGGTATATTCTCCCATGAGCCAATAGCAGTCACATTGTCAAGGGTAGAGAGAGATCCTGGGTGTTCAAGGGTGAGGGTCCTACTGGGGTGTAAGGCCACTCAATCTGGCCAGAGAAGCTGGTACCTTCCTGCCAGGTCATCCCTCTATACCTGTGCAGCTTCCTAGGATCAGAGCTTGAAGCAAGAGGCAGCCACTGAGAGACCTCCTGTTAGGGCAAGCACACTGATTGAAACCCTCCACCCTGGCCAGGCACCATAGTAACTATGTGCATGAGCTGTTTTACAACAGGAGGTCCTGGTAAGGATCACGGAACTAATAAGCCTCCACCAACTGAAAGAATTCGGGAAAGGCCAAAATCAGACACCACATGTCCGACCACCTCCCAGAATCCTTCTCTCTGGCATTTATCTTGGCTGAACAAGGTGGGCACCACCAGGAAGGACTCTTGAGTCAGAATGATTGGCTAAAGACAACCCAGAAACTAATCCCATCACGATAAAACCCTACACTGCAAGCCATGTGACAGAGCAGTTCTTCTGGGTTCCCCTACCCTACTGCTCTCCACCCGGGTGCCCTTTCCCAATAAAATCTCTTGCTTTGTCAGCACATGCGTCTCCTCTCAAAATTCATTTCTGAGTGTTAGACAAGAGCCCAGTTTCGGGCCCTGGAAGGGGTCCTCCTTCCTGCAACAGGGGTACTGATCTGTGCNTTTTTTTTTTCCATTTATTTTTATTAGTTGGAGGCTAATTACTTTACATCATTGCAGTGGTTTTTGTCATACATTGAAATGAATTAGCCATGGATTTACGTGTATTCCCCATCCGGGTCCCCCCTCCCACCTCCCTCTCCGAGAGGTCTTGAACAGAACACTACCTGAGGGAGGCATCAATAGAAGGAATTTAAGCTATGGGAGAGAATGAGCCCAAGCCCGGAGTGAGTGTGAGGAGAGAAGTGAGCCAGAACTGAGGCTCCCCACCTCCTCTGTGGACTGGTCCAGGAGGAGAGAGAAGGGAAAGAGAGTGATGCTGAGCAGCCAGGAAGATAAGAAAACCGCAGACAGGAGAGGAAGAGGGAAGGAGGAGGAGACAGTGATCAGTGGGGTCAAATGTAACCGATGGTTGGTAGAGATGGAGGGATGAGGCAGAGACACTGAATTTTGCAAGAGGGGAGAGTTGGAGACCTTCCTTTAGCCCTTGCTCCTGGGAAGGGAGGCTGCCCCTCTTTTTCTCTGACCAATCTTTCTTGTGTGAAGCCAGTTTCGAACTTTATTCTGAGGGATGTATTCCATAGGAGCCCTGACTCTGGCCTTATCCTGTGGCTCTGTGGAGAAGCCCTGGCCAGCAGAGTGTCACCATTTTATTGAAACACTGGAAAAATGCAGCTCTGGGGACTGCCCCCGACCCAACACACACACTGTGTGTGTGCGTGGGAGGAGCTCAGAACTCGCAGATCACGAGGCGCTGCTCACCACAGAGCTTGTCATTCCACTTGCCATTGGGGAAGATCTCCACACAGTTCTCTGAGCCACCATCATTGTTGGGCTCCTGGGGGGCCCAGTTGGAATAGACCAGGGGCTCCCCCGTGGGGTAGATGAAAGTACCCTCCTTCCTGGTGTCGGTCATGCTTAGGAAAGCAGACTTGTTCTGGGCTGTGGCCAGCTGAGTCAGGGCCTCATTCTCAGCTGCAGAACGTGGAGAGGGCAACTGTCCTCCAGCCTGTGTGCAGATCTGCTGGGCATCCTGAAATGTTTTCTCAGAGCCTGCCGTCTTAAAGATCTTCTCCCCAACACTCCGGCCATCAGGGAAGAGCACCGCTAGGGGAAGAGGAGAGTCAGGTTGGGGATGCGGCAGCATCTAGACCTTGTGCTTCAACTGGAGTCCCCAGTCTCCTATCCAGGTACTAGGGCACCAGATAGGAAGAAAGTGAGGCACTTGGTTCTGAGCAGTCCTGGCTCCGTGATGTGCTCTGAGAGTGGTGCCGTGGTCTCCAGGTACAGGTGAGGACCCCGGAACTCAGGTGCTTATGTAAGAGGCCCAAAGTTGCCCAACTGTTAGATGTAGACAAGGATCAGACCTTTCTTGAGGTAACACTAAAGCTTGCACTTTCTGTTCCTCCCTGTGTTGCATGCCAGAATCAAGTTTTCAGTTACTCTGTAGGTTGGAATGACTTTGGGAGGGAAATGACACCATGCAGCCCAGGGCGGTTCCTGAAAGTGGGGGAAATACCATGCAGGGGGCTCACTCCAACCCCTCCATGACGATTGGGCGCATGGGGTTGTCACAGGGAGTTCTGTGCAATCTGAAGGGGGGTGAGGGGAAGGAGAAGACGGGGGTGCATCTGAGAACTGCTTAATATTGGCCTCAACATGCTTGTGGATGATGCAAGTCACTCAGCCTCCCTGGACCACTGGGCAGTATGTGTAGAAATAGCAGGCAGGATGGGATCAGTACTAAAGACAGCCCTGTTTTGGATCCAGAAGACCATGTATTCATCCTCACCTTGGCAATGATGGTCCAGGTGGACACAAGAAAGTCACTTCCCTTTTCAGGGTCTCATTCCTTATTTCTAAAGTAGGGGTATACTGTATAACAGTATCCTCTGTGTGACATAAGTATCTCTTCTTATTGTAACCTGTCCCCATCACTCTGACTTCTAGGGTCATACATGGAAGTTTTTAGGGCTCCTTGGACTGTTTAGGAACCCAGGCTGCACACTGACCATCTGCCTTTCTCTGAGTAGCTTCAACAGGGACTCAGGGAACAGATTCTCTCTAGGGGGTCAGGATGGCACCCAGATCAGCCCTGAACAGGTCAGAGTAAGTCCATGTGACACTACTGGGTTTACATCGCATGCATCTGGGTGGATGTGTATTTGTATGAGTGAATGTGCCCATGTGTCTATCTGAAGATACACGGGCAGACTTAAGGTCCATCTGGATAGGAGAGCCTATGTGTACACGGTGCTCATGTATGTAGATGGTGTCACATAGGTGATGGTGTTTAAGTACACACGAGTGTAGCCAGTGCATATGCCCACGTTCTCTGTTTGCATCAGTGTGCATATGCAGGAGTAAATACGTATGCAGATACGCTTGTGGAAGGAGGAAGACATACCAAACGCTGGCAACTCTCATCCTTAACTACTTTGGTACTTAGTTTGCTTTAGTCCTTAGAAGCCAACAATATGTCTCAGCAGATCAGGCCCCTTTATGCTCTGCTCCTTCAGAAAATTTTTTATCAATCACTGAGTTTGGATGAATGATGTGAATGCAAAGCTGTCGTCAGGCAGAGCAGAGGAGGAGGGACAGTTGGTGGAGAGTCCCAGGGCACAGGGCACTCAGGTGTGTGCTTCAGGAGACCTCTGCCTGCTTAGGATCCAGGCTTAGGGAAGAATCTCTGCTTTGAACACCACAAGAGGTGCAGAGGGAGTCCAGCACTGACCAGAGACTGGAGGCAGCCTGCTCCTGCCAGACCTACAGGCATGTTTAGGGAGAGATCCTTGGTGACCACATACTAAGGACATGTCCCCAGCGGCCTTGAACCCCACATGAAGCATCCCATCCCCACTCCCATGACCAGTCCTGGATTCTCTGCTGCCCTGGGTTGTGTGGCTGCTTCTCTGTGCACTTGCATACCTGGTCCCACAGAGGAAAGACAAGGGTTGGGGGTTCCCTTGTCTGTCGTAGGGACCTTCCCAGGGTATGCCAGGATAAGGTCTGCTGAAGTGGTGACACTGACCACTTCTCCTTGTTCTGTGTGTCTACTTGCAGATCCTGGAGCATGGCTCTGTCCCAGCCCTGTCCTTAGCCCCACTCCTGCCCCAGGTCTAGGTCAGTCCCAATCATGGTCCCAGCAAGTCCAATTTAGACCTAAGCCCAGCGAACTGCAAGCCAAGCCCAGACCCAGTCTGAGGCCCATGATCAGGGCCTGGCCCAGGGTCAGGTCCAGGAACTCACCTTTCTTATAGTGAGAGAAGGCATTCTGGAGGCGTTGTAGCTGTCCCTCTAAGATTCCTACCCGCTGCCTGAGAACATCGACCTCTGCAGGAGAGAGAGGCCAAGTGAAGACAGGTCCAGAACAGTCTGGGGTCACTCAGAACCCAGGCCTCAAGGGAGGAGTGTCCAGGTGGAGACGCAAGTTGGGGGTGAGGTGGAACAGGTGGAGGTGGAACAGACCCCTGGGAAGCCCACCTGTGCTGACCTAGCTGGCCTCTGCTTCCGTGGGATTTCCTATGTTTCTCTTGTGAACAGTATCCCCTGAACAGGTCCCTGCACCTCACTGACAGTGAACCAGGTGTCATTTTAATTCCAAATTCTAGGAATCTGATAGCACTTCCTTTTGTGGTGCAGGGGGTGGTATGGTTGTAGGAGAGGAATACACACAGCTTGAATAATTTTCATCCACTGAGTTATTTGCTGTTCAGGGTTAGCTGATGAATTGGAGAGGGAGGTCAGCTTGTCATAGAGATCAGATAGAAAATCTGCTCAGGTTGTCCTGCAGCAAGTCATAGAGGTTAAGACCAGAGTCCACCTTGCCATCCACCCTGACAACTTTTCCTGCTTCTACCTCCATCTGTAACTTAATGGGTTGCCTGAGAGGAGAGCTGAGGTGAATAAGGTCACTTCCCTGCCCCACACCCTAATGGGGCCCCCAAGTCTTCCTTACCTGCAAGCCCACTCTCACCCTTTGCTCCTCTTTCTCCAGGAGTACCTCTGTCTCCCTTCAGTCCTGGGGGGCCCCTGGCACCTGAAGGCCCCTGTGGACCTATGGCTCCAGCAGGCCCTGGGATAAGAGAAGTAGAAATGGGTGCGTGCTGAACATATATTTCAGCATTTTCGCGCCCACTCCCCACCCCCAAACATGGAATTCACAACCCCTAGCCAAAGACCCTCCACCTGTACAAATGTCCCTCTGTGCCTGAAATCTGTCCTTGCATCATCTCTGTACACTGTCCCCTGACAACCAGCCTTCCCTGGATACAGACAGTCCCTGCCACTCTCACCACCTTCTCTCTGGAGACAGACAGTTCCCAGAGCCCAACACTGGCTCTCATCCTGGAATGCCAGCTCTGACCTGGTGGCTGGTGGGGGTGGGCACAAGGGAACATGAGCCTAGCCCCACGTCCATTGCTCACCTGCCGCCCCAGCACGTCCAGGGGCTCCGGGCTCACCAGGGGCACCTCTCTCTCCTTTGAGACCTGCAGGGCCTGGGGAGCCCTGCATGCCTGGGGCACCCACTCCTCCTGAGGAGGGAACACATTGGAGAAACATGGCTGAGAGTGTGCTCAGCAGGTACCATTTCCTCAGCAGTGCAGCTTGTCACGCACAGCTCCAGGTGAGAGAGCGACCTGGGAGACTGCTCCTGACTGCTTGGTCTCTTCCAGGAACCGTATCGGGAAATTCAGTCAGTGTGGGAAAGTTGAGGGTGAGGCCCAGGCAAGGCCGACCAGATGTGGAGGATCCAGGCTTTTTCAGGCACTGTGCACATACCTTGGTCCCCACCAGGGCTGCCCATATCACCCCTCCCGTCTCCCTCCCTCACCCACCACACACCACCCTCCTACCTTTGGGCCCAGTCTCTCCTTTGGGGCCTGGTGTGCCTGGAGGTCCCATGCTCCCCTGCTTCCCTGAGGGGCCCTCTCTCCCAGCTGGACCAGGCATGCCTGGAGGCCCTGGGGAAAAGGACCAGCCTGGTTAGTGACACTGAATCTCCTTGGAGGTGGAAGTGCTTAAAAGATAGGGCTGTAATAGAAGTCAGACAGGCAGCTTCCTGCTAAAGATGTTGCCCCCACTCCACCCTCCCCAGGAGCTCCAGTCTTCTCTGAAATAACCTCGTGCCACCTTGAGAATGACCTTCTTCCTCTTCCTGGGGTGGAATCTCTACACGCCTACTGCCGTGTCCTAGCAGCAGCATGCCACCTGCAGACACCTGCATTCCACGCCCAGCTGCTCACCAGGTGGTCCCGGGTCTCCCTTTGGTCCGGGTTCTCCAGCAGAACCATTGTCCCCTTTCGGCCCAATGGGGCCAGCTGGTCCAGGCATTCCTGCTCGTCCTGCAGGTCCTGGTGAACCTGTGGCAGAAGAGATGGACATAAAGCTAATCCCAGCCCAGGAGGAGCCAGCTGCCTCCAGAGTCAGGGCCCTGGCATTCTTTCAGGGTTCTATAGGGTCTATAGACACTCCCCCTCCAGGTGACTGGTCCAGTGGTGATCTAGGAAATCCGTATCCACGTCTCCATTTTACAGGTGAAGGAACAGGCTTTCAGAATTGGAAGCAGATCCAAACCAAGAGTCACCTGACTTTGCATACAATACACCTGCCCCTTCCCCCAGGTCACGGTATTTATGGCAGTTAAGTCTGTCAGCTTTTACCCCGGACCATGGACTCCCTGCCCTCCCACTTCCAAAACCAACATTTCTGTCAGAAATGACACCTGACACTAATCACCAGAGGAATATAAATCAAAAGCACAATGAGCTGTCACCTCACACCTGTCAGAATGGCTATTATCAGACAGCAAATAAGAAGTGTTGGAGAATGTGGAGAAAAGGGAAACTTTGCGCAGTAGGGATGTAAATTGGTACAGCCACTATGGAGAACAGTATGGAGGTTTCTCAGAAAGCTAAACCTAGAGCTACTGTATAATCCATCAATTCCACTTCTGAGTATTTAACTAAAGAAAATGAAAGTACTAACATGAAAAGATACATGTACCCCCAAGTTAATTGCAGCTTTATTTATGGTAGCCTAGACATGGATGCAGCCTAGAGCCCAAGTATCTGTGGATGGAAGAATGGATATAGAAAATGCAGGGTGCATATACAATGGAACATTATTCAGCCATAAAAGGGAATGAAATCTTGCTATTTGCAGCAATACTGGTGAATTTTGAAGGCACTGTGCTTAGTGGAATAAGTCACAGAGAAGGGTGGTACTATACGATCTCATTTATATGTGAAATCTAAAAGAAAACAAACAGAAACAACATATTTACAGATACAGAGAACATATTTGTGGTTGCTAGAGGTGGGGTTGCAAAGTAAGCAGAATGGACAGAAATCTTCAAAAGGTACAGTTAAAAAAGGACAGTCAAAATGTCCAGTTAAAAAAAAATTGAGTCCTAGGAATAAAATGTACAGCAAAGTTATTATAGTTAGTAATCCTGGGTTGCATGCTTGAACATTGCTGAGCAAGCAGATCTTAAAAGTTATCATCACACACAAACTGTAACTATGTGTGTTGATGATATTGACATGACTTATTGTGACAATCATTTCACAATATATGCAAATATGAAATCATTCACGCCTACTGCCGTGTCCTAGCAGCAGCATGCCACCTGCAGACACCTGCATTCCACGCCCAGCTGCTCACCAGGTGGTCCCGGGTCTCCCTTTGGTCCGGGTTCTCCAGCAGAACCATTGTCCCCTTTCGGCCCAATGGGGCCAGCTGGTCCAGGCATTCCTGCTCGTCCTGCAGGTCCTGGTGAACCTGTGGCAGAAGAGATGGACATAAAGCTAATCCCAGCCCAGGAGGAGCCAGCTGCCTCCAGAGTCAGGGCCCTGGCATTCTTTCAGGGTTCTATAGGGTCTATAGACACTCCCCCTCCAGGTGACTGGTCCAGTGGTGATCTAGGAAATCCGTATCCACGTCTCCATTTTACAGGTGAAGGAACAGGCTTTCAGAATTGGAAGCAGATCCAAACCAAGAGTCACCTGACTTTGCATACAATACACCTGCCCCTTCCCCCAGGTCACGGTATTTATAGCAGTTAAGTCTGTCAGCTTTTACCCCGGACCATGGACTCCCTGCCCTCCCACTTCCAAAACCAACATTTCTGTCAGAAATGACACCTGACACTAATCACCAGAGGAATATAAATCAAAAGCACAATGAGCTGTCACCTCACACCTGTCAGAATGGCTATTATCAGACAGCAAATAAGAAGTGTTGGAGAATGTGGAGAAAAGGGAAACTTTGCGCAGTAGGGATGTAAATTGGTACAGCCACTATGGAGAACAGTATGGAGGTTTCTCAGAAAGCTAAACCTAGAGCTACTGTATAATCCATCAATTCCACTTCTGAGTATTTAACTAAAGAAAATGAAAGCTAACATGAAAAGATATATGTACCCCCAAGTTAATTGCAGCTTTATTTATGGTAGCCTAGACATGGATGCAGCCTAGAGCCCAAGTATCTGTGGATGGAAGAATGGATATAGAAAATGCAGGGTGCATATACAATGGAACATTATTCAGCCATAAAAGGGAATGAAATCTTGCTATTTGCAGCAATACTGGTGAACTTTGAAGGCACTGTGCTTAGTGGAATAAGTCACAGAGAAGGGTGGTACTATACGATCTCATTTATATGTGAAATCTAAAAGAAAACAAACAGAAACAACATATTTACAGATACAGAGAACATATTTGTGGTTGCTAGAGGTGGGGTTGCAAAGTAAGCAGAATGGACAGAAATCTTCAAAAGGTACAGTTAAAAAAGGACAGTCAAAATGTCCAGTTAAAAAAAAATTGAGTCCTAGGAATAAAATGTACAGCAAAGTTATTATAGTTAGTAATCCTGGGTTGCATGCTTGAACATTGCTGAGCAAGCAGATCTTAAAAGTTATCATCACACACAAACTGTAACTATGTGTGTTGATGATATTGACATGACTTATTGTGACAATCATTTCACAATATATGCAAATATGAAATCATATTTCATCTATCTGAATCTAATATATTATAGATCAATTTTATTTTAATATAAAGAAGAGAAAAAACTATGTAACATGTTTTTAAAATTAAAGAAGATAGTCAAAATTAATATGCATCATTAAGTGATAAATGTAGGTTATAAATACTCTATTTAATATGGTTTGGTTTCTTCAACATGTCCATGCATGTATCAGGCATGTGCACATGTTAACACACATTGAAAAAAACCACAAGAAGAGCATATACAAGTGTTAACAGTTGTTTTTTCTAAGGGGCACAGTTCAAGTAATTTTAATTTTCTTCTTTTTGTGATTAGTGACCACATGTTAATTGTCTTCTAAAAATGATCAAACATTTTAAAAAATCACATTAGTTTAAGAAGGCTGCCTAAGTCTGAAATTATGAGAGATTTACCTTCAAAGACTAAAGGGAGAAATGCCTATTGATTCACAAATTATATACTCAAGTCTGTGAATTTGATTATTCTTTTTTCATTGAGATGAAATTCACATAATATAAAAATTACCTTTTTTTTTTTTTTTTACTGTGATGTGTAGCTTTCAGGATCTCAGGTGCCCAGTCAGGGATTGAACCTGAGGCCTGGCAGTGAGAACACCAAGTCCTAACCACTGGACCTCCAGGAATTCCCTATAATTAGTCACTTAAAGTATGCAATTCAGCAGCATTTAGAACATTGACATAATTGTAAAACTTCTCTTTATTTTAAAACTATTTCATTAATCCCAAAGAAAGCCTCATACCCATTTATCACTCCATCCCTGCCTCATCCAAGGCCCTGGCTACCACTGTGCAGATAATACTGTCTGTGTTATCTATTCTGGGTATTTTATATAAATACATACAACATATGACCCTTTGTGTCTGCCTTTTTAAACTAGGAGTGACATTCTTGAGGCTCATCCAATTTGTAGCACATTTCAATACTTCATTCCTTTCTATGGCTGAGAAATGTTCTATAGTATGAATACAATACATTTTCTTTATTCATTCACTGTGGATAAATGTTGATAGACACTTTTGTTGTTTCCATCTTTTGACTGTTGTGAGTAAAGCATTCATGTGCAAAAAGAACAAAAGAAATCTGTCAGTTACTACTAACTTATTCATTCACTTATTTGTTCATTTCCTCATTATTTCATTTCTCTGTTCACTGAGAAACTATCTGTGGAACATAGTTTTCTGCCTAGCACTGAGCAGGATGTAATTGTTAGCATCAGGTCCTGATCTGCAAGGAATTTGTCATCAAGTTTTAAACTGTGAGGCACAGGTAACAAGTGAAGAAAACAGCTTATGAGATATTCCTCATCCTATCCCAGTACCCCCAACCCATGCATATACTCAGAGGAAACAGGACTTCAAGGTTGAAGAGGTTTCAGAGACCTGGAGAGGAGAGATGACATTTCAGATCTGGAAACCATTCCCCCAGGGTAAGAAGGGCCAAGCTTGCCTGGGCCAAGAATGTGCAGGTGGTGGAAGACTGGTGTATTTGATGGGTGGTGAGAGCCTCTGTGCTAGACTTGTGTCCTGCTCTTAGTTCTAATTCTCACTAGGCAAGCAATGGGAGCCTGGAGGATGGGTCCCGCATCCCAGACCCCCTGGTACGCTGTGCTCAGGCAGACACACTTGGGCTCTGGCTGAGCCTCTGCTGGGCTCTCCCCTGGCTGGGTACCTTGGAAGCAAGTCACTCCTTAGAAGGGACCATTAGAGGTTGCCCGTCTTTGTGCACAAACCATGGCGGCCATGAGAGCAGGGAGATAGATGAAGGGATACTTTTCAATTCAGGGCCTCTCAGGGAGCTAGAGAGAGCTGGCATCTTGAATACCACCCCTCCTCTGAGATCACTTCTAGGATGCCTTCTCTAGCCCCAGCCCATTCATGTTGGGAACTACTTTCTCTCTAAAAGACAGACTTGACTCTTAGCCTACAAATCTTGGGGATACTATGTATTCTTTTCAACTTTAATGTTGTTCGTTTCTTTCCTCTCCAATTGAAGAACAAACTCCAGAAAGATAAAAGACCTCAGCTGATCCCTCCATAGCCCTGGCCCAGGGCCGTGGTGGTCCCCTCATCCTTGTCGCTGGTTCATCAAATTCTCACTTCTTGCCAGTAAAAAACAGATCTTCTCCTGTGGGGCAGTGTTTCCAGAAAATTTGCTTAATAATCAGTAAATTTGGAAACTGCAGGAGAATTAAGCTGGTTGGTACAGCAGAAGTATAAAACTTTATCTTGAAGACCCAACAAAGAAATGAAGCCTTGGCTCAATTCTTTGTCACTGTGTGGTCGATATTACTCTCATCTACAGATGATTAAACTGAAACTTACAACACTGTCATCAGTTCAAAAATATTTAACATTCTTCAGAGGCAACATTTAATAAGAATGATCAACAGTTAAGTTTTGGAGTGTGTGTACTCAGTCACATCTGACTCTTTGTGGCTCTGTGGATTGTAGCCCAACAGATTTCTCTGTCTATGAGATTCTCCAGGCAAGAATAATGGAGTGGGTTGCCATTTTCTATCCAGGGTATCATCCCAACCCTGGGGTCAAACCTATGTCTCCTATGTCTCCTGCATGTGTGCACTAAGTCGCTTCAGTCGTGTGTAAATCAACGGACCACAGCCCGCCAGGCTCCTCTGTCTGTGGGATTTTCCAAGTGAGAATATAGGAGTGGGTTGCTATACCATCCTCCAGGGAATCTTCCTGACCCAGGGATCGAACCTGCATCTCTTACATCTCTTGCACCGGCAGGCAGCGCGGGCGCTGGGAAACCCAGCGCTACTTGGGAAACCCAAGAGTTCTGGAGTAGGGGCCTCTGAATATCAGTTTCATTGTACATTCTTGGGGGTTGTTAGAGTCAGAAGATCCTAGGGAAGGAATCAGGACAGCTGGTTATGGAGCTAGGGGCTTGGGCAAGCCAGTCTTTGCCAATCAGTAAAGGCATGTCTCAGGTGGACTGAAGATCTGGGGGAAATCCACCCACTTGGGAAGCCCATCTTCAAGGTTTCCACAGCACAAGATCCAGAGTTTCTGGGTTAGTTACAATTTCAGTGCCCACCCCTTCCCACCAGGACAAGCCCATGGACACAGTTCTACCTGGATCTCCCTTCTCCCCCCGGGGGCCTTCTCTCCCATCTCGTCCATCACGACCAGGCAAGCCACCCTCCAGGGGGCTACACATAACCAGGGTACAGGCGTTGGCCATTGTTTTCTGGGAATAGATCTTCATTTCTGCTCCCAGGGGTCTCCAGGGCTGTGTGAGCAGGAGCAGCATGGAGAGCGGGAGGAGAAGCATGTCCTAGGCAGAGGAACAGAAAGAGGGGCTGCTCTTGGTCCAAGGACGAGGACTAGGGCTGGCCCAGCTCCTGGAGGTCAGGAGAAGCCCTTCCCCCATCTCCTCTCCCATCCTCTGGGGCCAAGAGTAGCAGGGCTCCAAAAGCAGTTTAGGGAAAGTTAGGATAAGGTCTGGCTAGGGAGGACATGAGTGGACCAGTTGGACCTCTGAGCTGGTCTGCCAGCAGCGTGAATCTACTCTTAGATGCTCTGTGTCATCCCTTTTTGGGTTTGTCATCCTTGCCTGGGGCACTGTGGCCAGGATGTAGAATTCCTCACTGAGGCCATTGTCACACCAGGAGGGACTCACTGAGGGCCCTCGGGTGGGACCCTTCCCTCTCTGGGCCTCTTTATCCCTTTTTATACCAGGAAGTTGGTAGCTTTACCTCTTACAAGGCTGGCTTGTCTCCTCTCACTTGCTGCTCTGCACAGAATAGTGCTGGAGTCTGCAGCGCTATCTGAAAAAAAAGCCAGAGTCCTAATGCCTGGTGAGGTTTGTCCTGAGCACAGAATGGTGCATGACTGCTTATTTGCCAGGATTGGTCATTCCTGGGCTCCACCAGGAAAGTTCCTGGCACACTTAGAGTCCTGCTCAGAACTCCTGAGAGGACCTGGGACAGGGGCCTCATGGAAGAGGGGACGTTAGAGACAGGTGCCATCAGGGGGAGGCTGGCTTCAGAGGAGGAAAGCCGATGTCCAACAGCTACCATCAGAAAGGGACTCAGGAGCTAAGTGAGATCAGGGTGGGTACAGGACATGGTCACTCCCAGTGTTGGGTTTCTTTCCTCTCTCAGAGAGAAACTGTAAAGTTTTTAGCATGGAAAAGAATCATGGGAGTTGCAGAGACCTGGAAGAAATCCCGAGGGACCTGTGCAAAGGACCAAGAGTTGCCAAGAAGGCTGATGTAGTGGGAGGGAAGGGGTTTCCTGGCCAGAGAAGTGCTTCCTTCCAAGAGGAAGATGACATGCACTTTCCAAAGGGACTTCCAGACAATGGCATCAGAGATCTGGTTGGATGTCACATTCAACTCTCCCCCTCTCCCTGTCCTGGAAACACATCTCCCACCAAACCAAGGGAGCAGAGTGAAGTGCATCCCTTATTACCCCATTTTCTCCCAACTCCAACACTGACCCTGCTAGAGTGGCAGATATAGACACACCCTGCCTTCTTCAACCACCCACATAGACAGGGAGATATTCACCAAAAATTGGAAAACAAATTAAGAGGCAAAGACAGAGATACTCACAGTTGCTTCCTCTAGGGCTCCAGCACGTCCAGGCAAATTAGAGTTCCTGCGAGAACTGGCTCCTTATACCTGTTCTGTAACCTGACTCTCAGCCCCAGGTTCCTGAAAACTCTCTTCAAGAAGTAGGGTAATTTCCTTCCTTATTGACTCACTCAATTGCACCCTCACCTGGGTTCTGGACTCCTGCCACTGAATTTCATAGGACTATACACACCTTAGAGTTCAAAGCACACCCTCAGCCCAGGATCTCATGGGTACCCCGCTTCAGCCTTGTAAGTAAAATGGCAGCATCAGTGTCTGTATTTCATGATGTCCAGGAATCCAAGGTCCAGAGAAGACCAGCAAGTTGCACAATGATCTACAACTCTTGCAAAAGCAGCCTGGCTCTGCAGAGTCCAAGAAACAGCACCTGCTGTGCCTACTTCTCTTCCTCCTCATCTCAACATTTCTCCTCAGACACTAGGAAAGAGCTGGGAGCTGCTTGGCCAATCTGAGCAGAAGTGGGGCAGGTGAAGGGTTGCTGAGGCAACAGCCTGTGGGAGACAGTGTCTGTGGGAGCTGCCATCTGGCAGGGGTCACTCTTGCTTTCTGCTGTAGCTCTAGAACAACTCTCCACTTGCCTCAAGATGGCTTTCTATGCTCTCTGTTCATCCCCTGCCCAACCGCCTCCTTCACTCACATGACTATCCAATTCTCTTCATTACAGGGCTTACTGGTAACTGCCTACATACTTGCTGCCCCAGACACTGGTTTCCCTGGTATATGATGAACAAACTGACATCAACTCCCTGTTAGATTGGTGGGATCCTCCCTCAAGCGGTGAAGATTGCCTCCATGTCCTTCCTGCTCTCTGCTGAACATGGTATGCTGTTGCGCTAGGACCCTTCTTTTCTGGACACGTAGATCCCTTATCNAGCTAAGAAGACTAAGAAATTAATCAAGGTCCCCTACTAGAGAAAGGCACCATTATATCAACCTTGTGTTCTGTTACACCCCCTCCAGTGTCTGACACTGGCTGAAGAGCACAGAGGTTGGACAGCATAATGGTACTGCTGCTGCTGCTAAGTCGCTTCAGTCATGTCCAACTCTGTGCGACCCCATAGATGGCAGCCCACCAGGCTCCCCCATCCCTGGGATTCTCCAGGCAAGAACACTGGAGTGGGTTGCCATTTCCTTCTCCAATGCATGAAAGTGAAAAGTGAAGGTGAAGATGCTCAGTCGTGTCCCACTCTTAGAGACCCCATGGACTGCAGCCCAGCAGGCTCCTCTGTCCATGGGATTTTCCAGGCAAGAGTATTGGAGTGGGGTGCCATTGCCTTCTCCGTAATGGTACTGCAGCCAAGCACAAAAATCGTAGTCAAGGGTGTTAATATGTCACAGTGTTGTCACTGCTCATATTTTGCTTAATGTTCTTGATCTTCCCTGCATTGAGCCTGTTATACATCTTATATTTTGTGTTTCTAGTCTGAGTGGAGGGATCTGTTTGCAGATAGAGCAACAATAATGACCTCAGTCCAAAATGAACCTGATGGCTGGGTCTAGAGCGATATGCTATTGTTGTCCTCAGGAATTCCATGAAAAATTTACCTGATAAATGCCTGTCTCCAAAGGTTGCCTACCTTTTGGACTCAGTATTCACTAGCTGTGGTTGTCTGTGTTGCATTTGTGGTATCTGTTTGTGGTACATCTCTATATATCTGAGCCAGGAAAGTTGTGGAAGAGGGGTTGACCAAGAAATCAAGGGGTATGCAGGTTAGGTAGGGATGGAGTGTATGGTCAGCCCATTCATGATGGCTGATCTCTTGCTCTTTCTACACCTCCCTGCTCCATTCACAGGACTACACAATCCTATTAATTACAGGGCTTAATTAGTAACTGCCTACATGCTGGCTGCTGCCCTAGCTTCAGGTTTGCCTGGTAACAGATAAGCCCAGCTGACATCAATTACCCCTGTAAATGGTAGGGGGACACTTTGACACTTCTCCCCAGTGCCAAAATTTGCTGCCATTTCCTATCCACTATAAACGGTGGCATGTCACTCTAGGAGTTTCTGTTTAAACATGTAAGATGCCCTGTCCAATAACCATTGATGTCTTTGTTGCTGTCTCTCCCTCTTACTTCAGTCTTAAGGCAGGGCACCTGCAAAGCACAAAGGCCTGTGAGGTCCATCCCAGCAGCAGTGGGCAGGTTGCTTTGGTTTTGGTCTCTGGGAACTGTCAGGGGAGGTCTGGCATTGAGGCCTTCTGCCAGAGCATTCACAGACCCACTTCTCCTCTGTTCTGGGTGCTGAGCTCTTTGATTCTAAAATTCATAACAAGGGCAGGAAAAAGGAGACATGGACATCAAAAGAAGTAAGATTCCACTGTTTCCTCCCTGACCTGTCAGGCAGAGGGCAATGTCTCTGAGGCCAAATCTTGGAGGTTCGATTTATACCTTTCATCTCGTCCTTGCAAACTACATGCAAATTCAGAGCAACTGTTCACACCAGGCTAGGAGTGGCTTCTCCATTGGTTGGCTAAAATGGAGGGCTCCTCATACAGTATTGCTTATCTTGTCCTTTCATTTCCTTAAAGCTGACATCTTAGTATTTCCCATTTTTTGATTCTTAGGGGAAATAGTAATCTGCCTTCGTTTCACTACCCAGAGTACTCAATTCCTCAGGTATACAGGCATTCCTTAAAACCTTTCCCCCTCTGCTAAGAGTTGGGATCCAAATGAAAAATCACCTTCTCTGGCTCAGATGCCTCTCCTGGTTTAGGCATGGATTGAAAGTCATGCCTTCAGTGAATTCATGCCTTCAGTGGGCACATGCCCACTTGATATGACTATAAGCTCATCTCTTATGTACAGATGTTCAGACATAAGCAGCCATGTCCTGAAGAAAAGCACCTGAGTTAGAATCACCACTCTTTCTTCAGGCTGTATTAGGAGAGTCACTTTTCTGTTGAGGCTGAATTGCCATTCCTTCCATGCAGAACAGAAGAACACAGGGTCTTGCAAGACAGTTGAAGCAGAATAATAGGTTTTTGGATACAAATGACTCTTTCAGAGACTCCAACCACTATCTTCTTAGCTTTTGGAGAACAACAGTTCTCAACCAGGGAAAATTCTGTCTCAACCCCAACCAAGGATGAGCCCAACGAACTGAGACGATTAGGTTATCCCAAGGGGTAGGGGAGGGTGGATTTGGGGCAGGGTTTGTATGGGCTCCTAGGGCTCTCAAACCCAAGATCCTTGTAACCAGTATACCTCTGTTTCATAATCACTTACTTCAGAACTTACCAGAGAAATGGTCTTGTACCTTGGAGATAAGGAATAAAGGAATAAACCACATGCAAAACCAGCCTGATTCCTCATTATTTTATGCACATTCCTTCTTGACCATCCATTCAAATTGAGCCTGTACCACTCAGCCACTTAAGGCTATATGTATTCCCAGGGGATAAACATTATCTACTAGGATTTGAGTAAATGCTATTTCATACACTTCAAAGGGAAGCAAGAGAAACATGTCTTCTTGAGAGTTCAAGAAGGGGTTGGTACAAAGGCACAAAGAACCTCCAACAACTGGTTGCCCAGTGGTTAGAATTCCTGGGTTTCACTGCTGTGGCCTGGGTTCAATTCCTGGTCAGGGAACTGAGATCCCATAAGCCACATGGTGCAGCCAAAAAAAGGAAAACAAGTCTTCTCCCCAGTGTACCCTCTTTGAAGTCCCTGTAACCCATAGCTTATTGGTTTGTTTCTTAGTTTTTGGCCATGGAGCAAGGTATGGGGGATCTGAGATCCTGACCAACAATTGAACTCATATCTCCTGCATTGCAAGCAGGATGTCTTAACTACTGGACCACCAGGGACGCTCCCCCATAGCTTATTGGCTACTATAGCATTTGTAAAAAACCCAATCTCTAATAAATTGCTTTACTTTATTTGTTGGTAGTCTGTCTGAATATGGCTTCCTCTAGATTAACTATTTTCTTTCTAGCTGTCTCTTAGTCACTAGATACATTTTTTTCCCTTTTTTATATGAACTATTCCATTCAAAATTATTCTACCAGTCCATAAGCTGTCCTGTGTCAAAGCCATCTGAAACAGTAGTGCTAAAAAGGAATCCTGGTCTGAAAACTGGCAACATGGGTATTATTTTATCCAGAGTCCACATAGTATTTATTGTTCATTATTCTCTAGTGTTGACTATAGTCATCAAGGACAATATCCCATAATCAAACGGACCCTGTTGCTTACATTCTCTACAATGTCCTCATGTGACTTCATTTTCTACTGTGAGGTGAATATCCAGTACAGGTCCCTTCCCCATCAGTGAATGCACCAAACCAAGTTTTCTTCCACTGGTAGAAGATATAGACAAATTTATTTTTATTTAATCCTTCACATTGTATAATATAACTTGTAAAAACTGTTTAGCAAAATACTTGATATAAAATATTGATTCAAAATTGCTAGCCCAGATTATCTCTTTGCCTTGATCCTGAGAGATAATGAAAGAGAAATTCAAACATACTTGGATTCTAGTTTCTGGAATGTAAACGTTTCTTTTTTAAAAAATTGAAATATATTTGACACACAGCACTGTGTATATTTCAGATGTACCACATATTAATTTCATATGTTTATATATTGTAATATGATTACCATTGTAGTGATAATAAGCACCTCTATCATAAAACAGTTATAATTTCTTTTTAGTGGATGGAATATTAGGTTCTAGTCTCAGTTTCATTACAATAGGATATTTTCTATATTCACTAGGTATTTGATCTCTAGGACATATTTACTATTTGCAAGTTTGTACACTAGAAAAAATATTCTAACCCTTCTCTCTGTCATCCCCTAGTAACCATTTACTCTGTTTTTTGAATTTGTTCTTTTCTAGATTCCATGTATAAGTGGTAATTTAGAGTATTTGTCTGTCTCAGTCTGACTAATTTCAGTTAGCCTAATGTCCTCAAGATCCATCCATATTATTGCAAATGGCAGGATATATTTCTTTCTCATGGCTGAATAATATTCCGTTGCACATATGTGTATCAGTTTAGTTCAGTTGATCAGTCATTTCTGACTCTTTGAGACCCCATGGACTGCAGCATGCAGGGCCTTCCTGTCCATCACCGACTCCCAGAGTTTACTCAAACTCATGTCCATTGAGTCGGTGATGCCATCCAACAACCTAATCCTGTGTTGTCCCCTTCTCCTCCCACTATCAATCTTTCCCAGCATCAGGGTCTTTTCTAATGAGTCAGTTCTTCACATCAGGTGGCCAAAGTACTGGAGTTTCAGCTTAAACATCAGTCTTTCCAATGAACAATCAGGACTTATTTCCTTTAGGATGGATTGGTTGGATCTCCTTGCAGTTCAAGGGACTCTCAAGGGTCTTCTCCAACACCACAGTTCTAAAACATCAATACTTTGGTGCTCAGCTTTCTTTGTAGTCCAACTTTCACATCCATATGTGACTACTGGTAAAACCATAGCCTTGTCTAGATGGACCTATGTTGGCAAAGTAATGTCTCTGCTTTTAAGTATGCTGTCTAGGTCATGTCATAAATTTCTTGTAAGGACCAAGCATCTTTTAATTTCATGGCTACAGTCACCATCTGCAGTGATTTTGGAGCCCCCCAAAATAAAGTCTGCCACTGTTTCCATGGTTTCCCC